ACTGGTTTAGACAGAAACAATTTATCCCCCAACATGCGACAACAGTGATTTCCTTGAATGATTGTGCATCTTTATAACACACACAACCACATATCTTCAAATTAATACAGATTTATACTATCACTTATGTATATACTTGAGTATAAGCCGACCCTAATATAAGCTGAGGCACCTAATTTTACCACAAAAAAACTAGGAAAACACATTGACTCATATATAAGCCAAGGGTGGGAAATGCAGCAGCTACTGGTAAATTTCAAAATAAAAATAGATACCAATAAAATGGCATTAATTGAGGCATCAGTAGGTTAAATGCTTTTTAATATTTGCATAAAACTGTAATTTAAGATAAGACTATCCAACTCTGATTCAACTATTATTCTAACCTTCTTCAATGTAAATGTGCTCACGTATCCTTCCAATAATAATAAAGTGAGTAAAATAATACATGTAATAAAATAATAATAGAGTAAAATAATAAATGTAACAATAATAATAAAAATAATAATAGAGTAAAATAATGTTAATGTAATAACCATAATAATACCTAGAGTAAAATTATTATTATTATTATTATTATTATTATTTATTTATTTATTTCGAGGTTTTATATACCGACCCTCTCACCTTCAAAGAGGGATTCGGACCGGTTCACAACATGTGTTAACATACAAAAATATACAATAACAACACAATGCAACATCATTACACGATTAAAATATAAGCACCATAAACATTAAAAACATTATCATCACAGTTATAAGAGCCAAATCGTCCACACAATCGCAATCCCAAACTACCGTTCATCATCCTCCTTTCATGTGGGCAAAGAATTAACTCAGTTGTCAAATGCCACATTCCACAGCCAGGTCTTTGTTAATTTCCTGAACGTCATGAGGGAGGGCGCAGTTCTGATCTCTAATGGGAGGGAGTTCCAAAGCCGGGGAGCCACCATCGTGAAGGCCCTGTCCCTCGTCCCCACCAGCCATGATTGTGCAGGCGGTGGGACCGAGAGCAGGGCCCCTCCAGACGATCTTAATGGTCTTGATGGTTCATAGGGGAGAATACGTTGGGAGAGGTAAACAGGGCCGGAGTCGTTTAGGGCTTTATAGGTTAACACCAGCACTTTGAATTGTGCTCGGAAGCTAATTGGCCTGCACTTAAACACAATTGATGCTGACAAAATTACCATCTGCCAGCTGCAGAAGGCCACCTTACTGGGATCTGCATGCATTATTCGCTGATACATCACACAGTCCTAGACACTTGGGAAGTGTGCGATGTGTGATCCAATACAACAGCCAACAGAGTGATCTTGTCTGCAGTGAACTCATCTTGTTGTGTTTCAAATAATAATAATAATAATAATAATAATAATAATAATAATAATGTAAAAGAATAAATAACTTTGACTTGAGTATAAGCCGAGGGGGGCTTTTTCAGCCTAAAAAAAGGAAGGAAAAACTTGGCTTATACTCGAGTTTATGCGGTACTTACATACTATGCAATACTGAAGGTGGATGTGAGTGAGACTTGATCTGATTCTGTACTATGACACCCTGGTCATCTAGGACATCAGTGAATTTTTGTGGATATTTGTAATTAACATGTTACTTATCTGCCATGATTTTAAAGTTATCTATCTGACTTTTCTTGGGAGTTCATATTTTTAAAGTTCAAGAAGTTAGGACAAATTGGAAGAATGTAGGTCAAAATACAGTATATGTGAAATACACAAGAAGGAACTGAGCAAACATAGTTACAAACCATTTTGTTAATCATAGCTGAGATGGTACGGAGATAATTATCACCCCATATAATTATGAAAATCGTAACAATTATTTATCTCAGTCAAAACTCCAGCACCTTTTCAGAAGTGGCTTGGAAAAATAGTGGATATTAAAATCAAAAAGAGGTTATAAAATCTCTCCCAAGTGCCATTCGGAGGGAGGATGAGGGGTGACAAGGCTCCATCAGGTCACACTCGCATCCACCTTCAGTGTTGCATAGAGGTGGTTTGATGTCTGTTGCTCTGGGCATTTTTTCCCTACCTCTGTTAAAGTTCTTAAAGATAACGTTGATAGATGTCTTTCTTACGAAGTGACATTGTCAAGGTCAGCTGCTAACCATCAGTCTAAATTGTTGAATTTCAAGTGATGTTTTGAATTTGAATTTTGAATTTCTAGACATGTTGTTTCTAAGACGCTGAGAATGTTAAGGTTGCTGGTCTTGCTTCTTCTGGTGACTTTCCATCAATGCAAAAGAGAGAATACAAAATGCCCAAGAAAGGATTCTCTGCCCATTCCAATCCCTCATGAGTGGTATCAGCCAGGGGCTCTCCTTATTGGTGGCATTGCATCTCACATATTTTGTATGTTCCACAAGCTTTCCTTCAAAAACCACCCAAATGACTTCCAGGAACTGGGTATTGATTTTCACATGTAAGGAACTCCTCCACCTTTTCTATATAAGGTATTTGTAAAAATGTTAAAGCTGTATAAGCCAGAAAATAGAATAATGAAAAATGTGTGTGAGGTTCATTTAATCTTTATGTCTCAAAAATGTTCTATCTGTTGTCAATTCTATAATTTCTAATTTTTTCACAATGTCCCAGAACCACCCTTGATATAGGCAGCAATATATAGAACACAGATATCTATTAGGCCTGGGCGATCAAGAAAAAAATTGGTTCTAAAATCGATTTGTAATTGGGGTGTTTTTTTGTTTCGATATTTAAAATAATTACAAAACTTCCCCCTACAATCCGTTAATATTTACGAAAATTTCGTAAATATTAACGAATTGATTCGTTAAGATGGCGTCCGCGTTGGCGCATGCGCAAAGCGTTAACGAAATGTTCGCTCACATTGGAATGGACATTATTCCGCAGATAGGTATGCGCTCCACTTGCCTCATTTCCATCAGGCACCTGAACAAGCCTCTGAGGAAGCCATTAGCCATGGATGCAGGCGACATGTCAGGAGAAGGTTAACAATAAGGGTGCTATAGCATATCTATTTTATGTATGTTGTTGTTCTTTTCATACATGCAATTGTAGTACCAAGGACTTGTCTCTTGTTGAAATATTAAGAAGAATTCATTACCTGAAAAAGGTGTTTTCATCATCAACACCGAAACAAGGAACTACACCCGGGATACCTTGTTGTAACCTGGTCACCATGTAAAACTCTTATCTGGCAAAACTTTGGATGCCACAAATAGTCCTTCGAAATATCTACAAGTGACTCTTTAAATCATCAGACATGAATATCTACATGAACATGGACATTTATCCATGACAAAGAGAAGTTATTCCTCTTTATTGTGTATATAAGTAATAAACCTGTCATATGACATCGTATTTGAAGTTTCAACAACAATAACATAATACTTTGTGTATCCTTGAACCACCCTTCCCAAGTATAACAAATACTTTTATTTTCTGTGTCAGAAAAGGAGGTTCTATTTTTTCCTATTCATGTTGAACTTAAAATAGTATGTCAACAGGAAAAGTGGGAACTAATTTCAGTGCGAAATGCTTTGCTTTGAATAATTTCATACAACTTTTTTATTGATTTGCAAGTCGCACCTTTTTCATCAGTACTTCATAAACGTTATCCGCACCCTTCCTGGTGTCATGCACAATTCCATTTTATCTCTCTCCCTCTCCCTTTGAAATGTCTGTCAATGCTACGATGAGGTCCAACATGCAGACAAAGCAATCGTATGCAACCTAGAAATGCCTTCTGAAACTTCTTTTGCAGGATGATAACAAAATTCTACCAGCATATCCTGGCATTGGCATTTGCTGTAAATGAAATCAATGAGAATCTGGAGATTTTACCCAACATCACCCTGGGTTTCCATATTTATGACAGCTACTACTTTGAGAGGATGGCATATCGCACTGTTCTGGACTTGCTCTTCAAATCACAAAGATTTGTCCCAAACTATCGCTGTGGCACTGAGAAGAACTTAGTAGCTGTGATTGGAGCACTTGGGTCTGACCTCTCCTTCCACATGGCAGAACTATTAGGAGCCTATAAGATCCCACAGGTGAGAAACATGACGGAGGGTTGAAGGGTTTTGTTTAATTCTTTGCTACTTATATGCGTATCTTGATTCTTACTATTGAGATGACTGTTCTGAAGAGTCAGAGATTTTGTTAATGGAAACAAATGGATATAGGTCATATAAAAATGGCTCAAGAAATTCAGGAGATAAAGATTACAGTTGTGGAGAATAAGATTCAATCTCTGTTGGACCCTGGAAATCCACTGGGTAATTCTGGGCAAGTCACATTCTCTCAACCCCAGACGTAAGGAAAGCATCACCACCCAGAACATATCTTGCCAAGAAAACCCTGTAATATCTTCACTTTAGGGATGTCAGTGGTCAGGAATGACTTCAAAGAACACAAATGCCATAGAAAGGATTCAGGAAATCATTCTTTACTCTCAGAAGTGGGTAGACCACAGTTCTTTGAAAAGCTGCTCAATTACATATGCAACCAAATGAAAGGGAATAACTAAAACACAATAATTTCACTTCACTTATAGTTTTCTTTAACTGAAACCATTGTACATTGTATTTTAGCTTGCATATGGATCATTTGCATCTCAAGAGAGTGAGGCAACACACGTTTTTTCCTTCTACCGCATGAGTCCAAATGAATTCCATCAGTACATGGGGATTATTCGTTTACTTAATCACTTTGGATGGACATGGATTGGGCTGGTGGTTGCAGATGATGAAAGTGGAGACCAATTTTTGCAAGTCATAGAGACCTTGTTTGCTCAAAATGGAATCTGTTCAGCCTTCACGCAAAGATTGCCACACCATGGTCGTTTGACTGAAGAGCAGGATAACAAATTTGTGAGAGTAACGGTGGATGGTAATGTCAGAGTATTTCTTATGCATGGTGATGCTACGGTGGTCATGTGGATGATCACATTCCATGTTTTTTTACTTCCTGAGGATATGGAAGCTGTATATCTGGGAAAGCTGTGGATTATGACAGCCCAGGCAGAGATTATTGTAACAGGGGTTACAAAGTTAATGGACTTTCAAATCTTCAAAGATACAATATCCTTTGCAGTTCACTCAGAGGAACCTCAAGGTTTCCAAGCATATCTTCAGAATGCAAAACCTAACCGTATAGAAGGAGGGGACCTTCTTAAAGAATTCTGGGAACAGGTTTTTGACTGTACCGTTCCAAATCCTCAGGAGCCAATGGAGACTGGCAATAAATGTACTTGGGAGGAGAAGCTGGAGATGGTTCCTAGCTCGGTTTTTGAAATGAGCATATCTGGTCACAGCTACAGCATCTACAATGCCGTGTATGCTGTGGCATATACTCTCCATGCCATGGGATTGTGTAGAGTCAAACACAGAATGATGTCAGGATTTAGAAGAGCTGGATGTGAAGAGCTCCAGGCTTGGCAGGTAATCTTTCCAACATGAAGAGTTTTGTAGATAGTTAAATAGCCTCCCAGTTAGTTTTACAACATGCCACAATGATGATGTAGTAGTGATATTACTAAGAGTTGCCTCAATATTATATGTCTGTGCATTAGAAGTGCAGTAGTCCTAGTACAGTAGAGTCTCAATTATCCAACATAAATGGGCTGACAGAATGTTGGATAAGCAAAAATGTTGGATAATAAGGAGGGATTAAGGAAAGTCTATTAAACGTCAAATTATTATGGATTTCGGTTTCTGATTTTAATAGGCATTGTTTTAATTACTGTTTTAATATTTTTTAATGTTTTGATTGTTTTATGATGATGGCATTGTATGGTGCTTCTGTGAGGCCGCCCTGAGTCCCCCCTCGGGGGTGAGAAGGGCGGGATATAAATATAGGAAATAAATAAATAATAATAAATAAATTACATTATGATTTTACAAATAAAGCACTAATATATCATGATTTACAATAAATCAACAGAAAAAGCAGTTCAATACATGGTAACATTATGTAGTAATTACTGTACTTATGAATTTAGCACCAAAACATCGCAATGTATTGAAACAGCTGTGGATCTAGGCGGGAGGCGGACTGTGTTGGATAATACAGAATGTTGGATGAGCGAAGGTTGGATAAGCCAGACTACTGTAATCGCATGCAGAATAATAACTGCAGCAGCTTCGAAAATCTCAGCCATTTGTATCCACAGTGGCTTCTGAGAGAAGTCAAAAATACAACAGAAAGAACAAAGGAAATGATCAAAATGCCATGAGGGAATGAGGGAATAGTACTATCAGGGTATGTACAGAAGTTGATTGTAAATGATATGATTATAACTGTATTTGTGTTTGCACTGGTTGCCCTAATGCTGGAGCGGCCTAGCTGTGAGGAGTGTGTTACCATGGAAACGATGCTGTAGAGAAGTGGGAGGAGCTTAGAGAGGAGAGTTTTGAAAAGCAACAGTTACAGTCAGTCAGGGTTTAGGCTCAGAGGAGTGAAGAGTTAGCAGTTGAGAGAGAGAGAGTGGGAAGTAGAGAAGCAGTGTTTGTGAATAGTCAGAGGTTTCTTCAGTTTAGGAAGGCTGAAGGGGAAACCTGATTAGTTTCATTAGTTAGAGAGGACTAATTGAAGCTTGTTTAGATCACTAGTTAAAAATGAACTAGAGATCTGGGGTTTGATCACGGAAGGATCAAACAGGAAGACTATTCACCTGAGGGAACATTGTTTTAATAAAGTGCTTCACCACAGCAAAAGTGATTTATAAGTTGTAACATCAGAAGTCTGAAACTGTATCGCAACCAAGTTATATGTAACGTTCTCCAAGTATTTTCCAAGTTCATCATCAAACTGCAACCATACGCTTTGTTTCAAAATAAACTTGTTCTCTTTGGTTTTAAGACTGTCTCATCTCCATTGATTCTGCGTTCAGTGTGCCCAATCTCCCAAAATTACCTCACATCACACATTGGTGGCACCATTAAGAATAAATAATAAATCGTAACTTCTCTCTCCTAATTTTTTACAAATTGCTGGTGGCGGCCCGTTACAAATAATTGCTGGTAGCCCGTTACAAATTGGTGGCAGAGACTTTACAGGTAGCTCTCTTTTTTGATTAGTATTCATACAAGTGAATTAGAATGAAATGCTTTTGAAAACACAAATATCTGTATGTTTCACCTTTTGGTCATAGCTTCATTCCTTTCTTCAAGCCACTTTTTTTAACAACACAGCTGGAGAAATCATATCATTCAATGATCGTGGAGAACTGATTACTGGATTTGACGTAATGAACCTGATCATGTTTCCAAACAATTCTTTCCTGAAAACTAAAATTGGAATGGTGAATCCCAGTGATGATGATGGGAATCGATTGATCATTAATGAGGATATGATGGAATGGCGTGCAAGGTTTAATCAGGTGTGGATTATTTTAAACTCTTGAAGGACACTTCTTTAGCAGCCTAGGTGACCTCATGTGATTCGCTAGCTTCCATGGTGAATTGGGGGGCATCAGGGCATCCACGCCACACCTGGCTTTTTGGAAAATGGAAAACTCCATAACCTTTTGCAGATTTTATGACTTTTGGAAACGCATAACCTTGTTAGAAATCACAACCTTTTGAAAAATGATGCCATAACCTCTTGGCAAAAAGCATGACCAGTTAGAGTCATAACCTATTGGGAAAAATGGCATTCAACAGCATTTATGCAAGGCAACTAGGTTTCTCAGCTGTTAAACTGATGTGCCTAGCTATGTCTAGCTATGTTAGGGAGAAAGATCAAAGAGTTGGAAGAGACCTCATGGGCCATCCAGTCCAACCCCCTGTTATGAATTATATTCATAACAAATAACTAGTAGAGGCTTGAGAGAGTTTCTATTTCCAACACTTCTGGCAGCTGACGCTTCCCCGTTCACTGGTTGGGAAGAATTATTGTGTGGTAACCCTATTGTTTGCCTATTATCAGTAGCTCCTGATAACTTAATTACAGAGAGGTGATGGACGGCCACACGTGTCACACTACTTTGAGCTATAAGAATTGTCCCCCAATGATCATTTTATGCTACAGTTCCAGTTCACCACCTCCATGTGTTAAAGTCTGTAGTCAATGAACGTCCTTCTTCTCTTCCCACAAAATTTCCTTGTTTTTATGGGCAGGTGCTTCCCCTCTCTACTTGTAGTGCCGCCTGTCAGCCAGGTAATCTAAAGACAAAGGAGGAAGGGAAGAAATTTTGCTGCTTCAATTGTCTCTCGTGTCCAGAAGGGAAAATTTCTAATGCAACAAGTAAGTAACAAAAGAAATCTAACATTCAGACATAGAGAGTCAACCAAAAGGCTCACCATATCAATAGGGTTGTGGAAGGATGAGGATTTCCAATCCAAAAATGGTTGGTTGTGGTTTTAAAAAAAATGAGCAAAAATTGAATAAGTTAGTGGAATACATTAAAATATTTAGAGTGTTAAAAACATAAATAAAAAATAATGTGATATACCTTAAGTAATATCAGCAGAGGATATCAATATGGAGCATGAAATGGAAAATTCTCTTCAAAAAGGACGGCGGAGAGGAGACATGATGGCTATGTATAAATATGTGAGGGGAAGTCATAGGGAGGAAGGAGCAAGCTTGTTTTCTGCTGCCCTGGAGACTAGGACGCAGAACAATGGCTTCAAACTACAGGAAAGGAGATTCCACTTGAACATTAGGAAGAACTTCCTGACTGTGAGAGCTGTTCAGCAGTGGAACTCTCTGCCCTGAAGTGCGATGGAGGCACCTTATTTGGAGGCTTTTAAACAATGGCCATTTGTCGGGGGTGCTTTTTTTTTGATAAATTTTTATTAAACACTTAAAAACATATATACATGGAAAGAGGGAGACTATTCAAGGAGAAGATAGAAAAGTAGGAAATACTGTCAATTAAAGAAAAAAGCGAAAAGAAAAAATCTAACAGGAAAAAAATTAAAAAAACTAAAAAATACAAAAAAACACCAAATAAGAAAGTCAAAAAATAAAAAAGAGTAAAAAGACTTCCATTCCAATCTCAGGATCGTGTCGTCTTTTGTTTCATTATTATTTATTTCTTCTTTGTTTCTCTCTCTTTTCTATTCTTTTCGTAGTCATAAAAGACAGCCCAATCTGTCTTTTTTATAGGTTTTTTTTTATAGGTATTTTTCTTTAACAAAAAAAAAAAAAGGTTTAGAAACTAAACTCATCCATGTCTTATTTTCTTAACCTTACACCCACGTCCAGGGCATGTTCTTTTCCAGAAATTTGCAAAAATTAATCTGCCGCGATGTCCACATAAGTCCGTAGTTATTTCATTTCATCCAATTGTATTTCCCTTCAGTTAAAACCAAAAATAATACTGATTTTCTTACACCTTTGTTTCATTTTTTTGTTGTTTCCTCTGATTACAACCAATATTGTGTTTCCTCCACGTTCATCTTTCTTTTATCATGTAAAGTGCACTTTAAACTTCCTATTATTTTTATCTGCCAAAGATGTTTTTGTATTGATTTCCCATTTGTGGGAACAAAATGCTGGATTTCCTCCTGTCATCTCTTCTATATTTAATTTTTTTCACATTTTTATCTCTCCTTTCCTTTTTCTCTTCTTTTTCCTCCTCCCTTCCCTCTCCCTTCCTTTCTTTTTCCCCATCATTTTTCACAATTGGCTCCCTCAAAATGAGGATTATTTCCCTTTGTTAATGAATGC